ACTGATGTGATTGAAGAAAACATCAGCATGAAAACTGAAAAGATCTAAGCTCTGAGGTCAAGGCCATCCTCCCGCCCCCGGTGGCCGGCCGGTGTCACGGCGAATCATGGAACGGATCAGCGAACGGGGCATGGACCGACAACATGATGGTAACGTACCGATAAAAGCCTAGCTTTTTAGTTATTGTGTGGTGGTTGAAATTTTTTGTCGTGCATGTTCAATCGCCCAGTGTTATTTTGCCGACAATGATTTGCTTCAATTCAGTGCACTGAAGCATGCCACTTCAGTGGGTGCTTAATTTAAAGACTGATTGAAGGCAACGGTGACTCCGTCTCCGTAGTGCATGCTGCTGTATTGGGCGGGGGGGGGGGGGGCTGGTACTTTGTTGTTTCAAAGAGCCGGTAACCAATAATCTCTATGTAGTAATATATAATACTGAACGAGGCCGGTGTAAATAAATTTTCAAGAAGGTCTTGAAAATTTATCACCGGCCGAGTTTGGTATGTATTTTACTGTATGCCAACGATAAATTTATGTTCTGAACCGAAGCTCTTAGCGGAACGAGATCATCCCAAAATGTTGGCTTAAGTGCAAACTGGTAATGCACTTTTGACCGTGGTCAATTTGCTTACACCAGTTATTACCACACCCCTCCGGCTAATGTATTTGAATAGGCCAGGCATACAGTACAGCCTTTGATTTCTTTGAATTTTAAAGAAATTCAATCATATTAAAATGAACTCATCTCCATCCTACCCTTGAAGATTGCTGGCATTTTAAGTTATCTCATCTCGTAACGACTCTGGAAACTGGTGACATTTTGCTGTTTTTATTTTGGTGCTTAATTATCTGAAGAAAGGTGCACACCTTCAAGTAAGGGGGTGGGGGCACTGCCGACTTTTGGTCCCATTCTTTCCATGCAACGTCCATAGGGCTAATGTTAAAATGCCAAAATCAAGGGGTGGGGGCACGATGCCCCGGTCCCCCCCGTTCCGCCGCCTATAGTGCACACACGGGGGAAAGGGAAGGAAAGCCAAGGAAAGCTCCTCCATATGAATTTCAGGGGCTCACATGAGATGGCTAAAAGTGGTCTGCAATCGTCCTGAGGCGACCGGCTGGGTCAATTATTTTTTTTTTAACTTTTGTGGCGAGTTTTGACCGCTTTTAGCTATCACATAGGGCACAGAAAAAAGTCAATTTGGCTGAAGCTTCCCATTAGCGGCCATCCGTTGATCTGATCTGTGTATACTCAGCAGCCTAAAAAGGCCTCCAAAGCTTTTCCCTCGACTTTTTAGCCTCGCTTAAAGGTCGAGGGAGCCATTTTAACGGGAGCCCTTTTCGGCTGGACGACCCAGCGTGGAGGTACCTTCCCGTTCCAAAACCTTTGTAAAAAGAATATATATTGTACCGCGAGTAGGTAGAACAAATCTTTTAAACGTCGAGCCGATAGGCGAGACGTTTAAATGATTTTTCTACCTACGAGCGGTTTAATAATTTTATCCCGTACCGCTGATTCCTTTCGAGCGCTTAAAGGTAAAAAAATACATTTTATTTAAAAATACGACACATTTCAGCGGAGCCAGAGACAAAGAGAAGCCGACAGATAAAGCTTTGAAAAAACGGTCCAGACAATGTGCTCGGTCTGGAATTGACAGGTTCATTGAAGCTGAAGTCGCAAATACAAATAAAAAAGAAAAAGAAAACGATGTTTCATTGCGTTTCCCATGCGCATACTGGTGAAAATAACGAGACAGTCAAATGGAAGAAATGTCTACTAGACGTTTAACAATTTGTTAATCGTCACTAGACGTTTAACAAATCAGTCAAACGGCATCTCTTAATTTTCTCTCTTTGCACGTGAAGCAATTGTAAACACTGTCTTCGGTGCGGGATAATATATGTATATTATACCGCGAGTAGGTAGAACAAATCTTTTAAACGTGGAGCCGATAGGCGAGACGTATAAAAGATTTTTTTTTCTATCTACGAGCGGGTAATAGTTTTATCCCGTACCGCCGGTATCTTTCAGGCGCTTAAAGGTAAAAAATACATTTTATGTGAAAAAACGATACATTTCAGACTAGACGAAATGTGTACTATTTACAGACGTTTAACAGCTTGTTTATCGTCTATGTAGACGTTTAACAAATCAATTACACGACATCTCAGATAATTTTCTCTCTCTGCACGTGAAGCAATTGGAAACACTGTCTACGGTGCTGGAAAACATTTTTAAATCGGTATTTTTAATTTCAATCTGCTGACTATGGTATGCATTACGATTTTTTTGGTGCAATTTGAATTAATTGTCAGATCAATCCGGATCCTTTTATTGTTAACGTCTTAGATATCATGCATTTTTGTCAATTCAAGCAATTTTTTTCTCCGATTCCATTTTCTATTCAATATTCAGGTAATAAGTTCTTAAAGTTGGAACAGTTTGTGGTTTAGGTTTGTTGGTGCATGTTTTACTAAAATCCCTAATGGCCGTTTTCACGACGGAACTTTCGCGGTGGAACCTATTTGATACCTGGAAAGTACCAACCCTTTAACCCTCGCCCTGGCAGGGCATTTTTCATAACACGGCCTGGCAGGGGGGGGGTCGATGCGACCCCCCTCGCGATTGGCTCCTATGGCACCTAGAAACACCAAATTTGGTAGGTAGGTGGGCCCCTTGGAGTTCTCGCCCCTGTGCAAATTTGGTTGTTCTAGGTCAATATTTAGGGGGGTTTTGGGGGGTATAAATGTAAAAATTTCGCTAAAAACAGGTCAAAAGTTTTTCGCTTATAACTTTTGATCTAATTAAGATAGAGCAAAAAGAAAAGCACCAGTGAACTCATCACGTCAAGGCGTGTCGAATGATATACTTTTTAGCTTGCTTAAGTGTACTTAAAGTTTTTCTTAAATTTTAAGTAAACTTAAATTTATAAGTTAAGTTCAAGTTAACCAAATTGCATGATATCGCATATCATTCGATTCGGCTGATCACCAGGAACACAATGATACCATTTTTAAGCTCTAGCGTCATTGTGTGCCAAGTTATTGGCAAAAACGTCATTTGACCTCAGTTGACCTCATTTGACCTGACCCATGGATAAGTACACCAAACAAAGAAGCACCAAGTGACCTGCTGTTTAGTACTGTGGTTTCAAAGCACAAAAGTGATGGAATGAATTGGATATCTCCAGTATTTTCCGAATTTAGTATTTTCCCATAGGCTTAACATTACGACGTAATGACCTCTAACTGACCTGAGGTCAGTGACCTCAAAAAACCCGAACTATATGTTATACAACTCGGTGAACTTAGCACATCCTGAAAGTTTGAAGGAACTCAGTCCAAAACTGTGAGTTGGACAGGTGCAAAAAGAAAATTGAAATTTGACCATGACCTTGTACCGGTTTTTCTGACCTGGTGACCTGACCTTAGGTCACTCGGACCTGAAATTTTCAGGTCATATGTAAAAAGGTTGTCCCATAGGCTGTGCCAAATTTGGCGGCGCTGCGCGCCGCCGTTTTTACGCTATCTTCGAAAAACCTTAGGGGGGTCGCATCGACCCCCCTGCCAGGGCGAGGGTTAAGGCCTTAGAATCCTTACAACTGAGTTCTTTTGCCTTCAAAATATTTTTAGAAGTTGTAATCCAGGCGGTTTTTGCCATCAAATCGCTTATTTATTTACAAACAAGTCAATTTTCGGTTCTAGTAGCCCACCTTTCGGCTATGAGGGATCAAATCAGCCTAGCAACTACATAGATACCCGGCTTCTGTTTCACCGGCCCGACGCTGCGCGCGCCCTGGTGGTGACCGGGCGCAACAAATCCGCCGCCGCCTTAGCAGTGGCATTGAGTTCCGCCGTCTGCTGCGGCTCCAAAGCCAAGCCAGCGTGGAATTGGGAGAGCTCGGTCACCCGCAGCTGGCAGCTCAGCATATTTCCTTGTCATTGTACTGGCATTATATAGATATGCTTATTTCATAAACGTGCTTACGCTTTAGGTTTACGTGAGTGGTAAACCCTTAGATAAAATAAATTAAAGGGACTATCCCACCTTTAACATGGGGTTTGAGTTGAGATAGCCAAGCTTGCGGCGAGGTTCAGAAACCACTATCTATCTAGGTTGCAACCCCCGCGGCCTCTTGGTGTTAAAGAAATTCGTTCCCTTCATTTGAAAATGGGCCTTGTACAAGGCCCTATCTTCAACATGGAGCGACCGTTAGTGTGACGTCACCTCGTTTAGTCATTCTGGTTTAAATGGGTTTGTTCGTTGAAAAATCGCTTAAAACTTGGTCTGAACTTTGTTGTGGTGCCTACAGAGTAAAAAGAATCAGCTTTATGACAGTAATGTGGCCTGGGGAAGGAGGTAATTTTGGGCTGTGACGTCACATATTTGAAAGTTTGTGTTTGGAATATGGGAAGCCTAAGATGTTTAATGAAAAATAAATGCCAGAACCGTGTTCCTGGTCATCCAATCTATAAAGTCGGGCACAATTTAACTGGTTTTAACAACATTTTAGAAGGTGGGATAGTCCCTTTAATGTAATATTTAGTAGAAAAACAGCAAAGTAACGGGCCACTTATTCGAAAGGTAGAAAACCTACTACAAAGAACTCCTAGAATTCCTCAGGCATCAAAGAAGACTACTAAAATTCCTGAGGTATCAAAGGACCAAACAGGCATCTATTAGGCACCCGCTATTCTGTCGTGAAAACGGCTAATATAATATGGCATGTAAAATTGCCGCTACACTGCAAGCATTGCAATAGCTTAGTTTTTATTTCTCTGCGGAGGCTGTGATTCCTCTTCAATTTTAATTTCATCTCTTTTTGGAAACTTAAATCTACATGGGATTTAGAAAATTGTTCCCCTTCAGTGGTGTTTTTTCTTTTAATGAAAATGAGAAATGTGGTGAGCAACATCTCAACTCAGCCGACATTGGCACCGAACAATCACAATCACTCAACTAGTACACCTCTGGCATATTCTTATTCAGTTCAAACACCTTCCTCAATTGATGAGTGTATTTTCCAGTCTCGATCCATATCTCGTTTCCAGACACGCCGAATACAAGCGTTTGAATGCCACCAGACAATGCTAGTTTGCTTCAAGTCAGCAGAACATATTTGCCTCAAATAACAAACATCGAAATTACTCGGCATCCACCTTGACGGAGGAGCTGTGCACGTTGCCATGGAGACCGGTGACCGGGACGCCACTGTACACGGGGTGGGTGTAGGGAACGCCGGCGACGCCAGCCACGTGAACAGGCTCGGCGGTGTAGGTGCTCACGGGGACACCGTTCACGGAAACTCCATGATAACCCGTCACGGGGACTCCGTGATAGCCAGTCACGGGCACTCCGTGATAGCCGGTCACGGGAACGGCATCATAAGTCGTCAGGGGCACTCCGTTGTAGTTGGTGACGGGCACTCCGTTGTAGTTGGTGACGGGCACTCCGTTGTAGTTGGTGACGGGCACTCCGTTGTAGGTGGTGACGGGCACTCCGTTGGTGATGGGCACTCCGTGGTTCACCAGACCGGCGCCGTAGACGGTGGCCGGCACCACGCCGTGAGTGGAGACACCAACAACCGGGTCTGTGAAAATACCGGAGCAATGACGTCATTTTGTGTTTATTTGTTTGCGGAGTTTGTTGGGATGTCAAAATGGGGATCATCAGCTTATGTGATTTAAATGCCTTGTTTTGGGCCAACAATTCTGCCTTTTCCTACACAAAAATAACACTTATCAGTTATTCAGCTTAGTTAAATTTCACCCACACTGTTCAGCGAACGACAAATGCACAGCCACTGAACAGAAAGTGGCAGGTGCCAGTGAAATTTCCGTAAAATCAATCTTAGGTACAGTTACTTTGGTCTCCATCAACATTCGATTATAGCTGCTTTTGAATAAGCTGATTTCCTATATAATCAATCAACGTTTCACTAATAAAAGGCGATCTGTGGTTGGAATGATCTGTGATTCACCAGATTTTACAATGAACTGCAAGTGAGCAAATTGTACTCACGTGTGACGGGTGTGTGTCCGACGGCGGTGTAGGTGAGGGGTGCCGTGCTGGCCGGCACGGTACCCACGCGCTGGGACACCGAGCTGCTGTGGTGGGCCGCAGAGGCGGCTCCCGCCAGCAGCAGAACGGCCAGCTGCAGGGACCAGATGGGGGAGGGGTTAGTGCGACACGAGGGGGCAATGGGGAGGCATAGGGACTACATGCGACAGGGTGCTTGGATACGACAAGAGGGGGAAGTTATTCCGCAAAAATCTGAGCGATGATTTTTTCTAATAGATTTGCATGTTGATCAATTTGATTTAAATTACAACCATCAGGGGTCGCTTTTACCAATAAACAAAATATTTGATAGTTAATTTCATAAGTAGTAAGATTTTTCAAAAATGATTGGTTTCATAATAATCTGGTGAACCCTAAACATCGAGCTCAAACCAACTTACGACTTTCATGATGAATAGATGAGCTGTGTAGAGAGCGTAGCAGAGCAGGACTCGAACTGATGCCCATCTCCTGTTGGGATCCCATTATATACCCTGGTCATCCCTCCAGCGGTCAGGTGCGTCCATTCCAGGACTGACCCCGACAAAAACTAAACCCCGCGCCGGGGCGGCCTGTTGCCAGGAAGAGGCAGACACAAAGGATGAACGGCCGGACGGCCCCGCGTTTCAGCAGGCGAGTTTTAACTGTCAGTCATTCCTCCAGAGGATGGAACTGGTTTTTAGTTGAATGAATATTCGAAAATCCGAATTTTTCTAGTTCTAGAGAGCAGATATGGGCAAATGATTCTGTTCTTCGCATTTAGTTTTCTTTGATGCAAAATACAGGCTGCTATAAAAGTTTTACCCTCAAAGCAAGCCCCCATGCTTTTGGTGAATGGTGTCAATTTATTAACTTGTTTTGTGATTGAACTGGAAATTTAATGCCACTCTGAAACCCATATAAAATCATCACGGATAGTTTTACAGATCGCGAGAGCCTCTTTATATTATCCCGCGCCCCACTGGGGGTCCTGGATTTCCACGCCCTGCTGGGGGAGGGGGGATTGAACACCCCCTCTTAACTCGGCTCCTGGGCCACGTAGCGATATGCAGAAGGCGGCGTTCAAAAGAGCGCCAAAAATATAGACGAAATCACTTCAGTCCCTTTTTTGGTCAGGTCAAAGGTGAGGCCACCAGAGATCATTGAAGGCAAAATTTCGCCCATTATCAGGTCGAATGTTGATAATTTTTAATAAGTCAACGCGTAACTCGGGAACCAATAGAGCTACAGCGCCGCGGAAAAGCGCATTCGATAACCCTATTAACGCCCATTCTGAATAATTCTCTCAGATTTGACCTAACTTCAACGGTTTTGCCTGCAGGGGCAAACACTGCCAAAATAGCCGTTTTTCTGAGTTTTTTTTTATGCAGCAACTTTTGACCCAAGCCTTACACGAGCTTACTTTTACCGGCATGGTGTTCCTCCCGTCAAGACGCATCGAATGAACTATAACTTAACCTTGAAAGGTCAACTTAAAAATTTGACCTCAGGCCAAGGTCATGACCTGACCGAAAATGGTCATGATGCGTATCAGTCGATCCGTATCGTCGAGCTCAACACATCTAAGGAGTTTTCATCGCTCTAGCATGCATCTACAAAAAGTTATCTGCGAAAAACTGTTAGATACCATCCGTGACCTAAGATGACCTCAGGGGCATAAACAGGGGTCACGGACACCATTTCTATGTTGAGTGTGTCTAAGTTACTTGTACTACGGTGTTTGGCAGTGTTTATAATGGCTTTCTTCCAAAAGCGGCGCATTTCAGTTTTCTCCCCTTAACCCCTTGGTAATGGGGAGATCGCAAAATTGACCTGACCTTAGGACATAGATATCAAAATTATGAGATGTACATTTTGTACATGCTATTGCTCTTAGCAATCGCTGAAAGGTTCCAAGCGATCGGTCATTCGGTGTAGCTATGGCAGACATTGAAACTTTTTATGAGGTGAGTTCATTTGAAGACCTGGTGACCTTACCTTGAATGACCTTCCTCTGGAAGTTTCACAACGTGTGTACAATTGATGTATGATAAGGCGTGCCAAAAACGGTGGCGCTCCACGCCACCGTGTTTGAGATATTCGCGAAAAACCACAGGGGGGGGGGGGGGGGGGTGCAAACAATCCCCCTCTCCCCAGCAATGCGCGGGTAATAGCCTCTTTTAAAGGGAAATTATCATGCAGATGAAGATGCTTCTCTAAGTCTATATTCCTGTAAATATGTGCAACTCAATATTAATTTCTGTACAGACCCTTTCTCGCTGAAATGTAGAAACCTTTTAGACCGCCTGGAGGGCCTCCAGGCACCATTTGGGCCTCACAATGACTATGCGAATCTGTTTTACGTTGGTGTGTGGCACATGAGGTCTCCAAGCATGCCTACAAAGTTACACCATTCACCAATGACCTATACGTATCAGCCTGAGAACCATACTATACCTACAGTAAATAAAATCAAGCTACAATTGTGCATGGCTAAACTACACCGAAAATACTTATATTAAGTTTGCTTCTCTCAATTTCTGACAATCTAATTTCCACAATAGTTTTTCGACCGAAAGAAATATCCTTCTACCTCTTCCTCTCCCTCCCTCCCTCTCTCTCTCTCTCTCTCTCTCTCCTCTCTCTCTCTCTCTCTCTCTCTCTCTGTCTCTCTCTCTCTCTCACTCTCTCTCTCTCCTCTCTCTCTCTCTCTCTCTCTCTCTCTCTCTCTCTCTCTCTCTCTCTCTCTCTCTCTCTCTCTCTCTCTCTCATCAGTTCCTTCTCTTCCTACGTATCTTCCTTAGGTAATTCTTTTCAATAATTTCAAGCTGCACACATGATATTGATCACATTATATAATTGCATTTTTAAGAAGCTACGATTGAAATATATCTTAATAGAAACTTTTCAAGCACCATAAATCTTCCGTTTTGCTCCTGTCCATCACACGCCGCACAGTCAAAGGGTGCCGCCCATGCCCGAAATAGCAGGCGTGACCGGACAGTGCCCCTGACAGTGACCTTGAGCCGACCCCAGCTGCTCCCCTCCCCACCCCTCCACTCCCTCTACCCCAGGAGTCTCCCCGTGAACGCCCAGCCCGGTAACAGGGGGCGGCAAAAACTGGACGGCGTTTAAAACCGAGCGTGGGATCGTGATTGGAAGATACCTCGTCGGACGATGCCAGGCCCCATCTGAATTGATCTCTGGGGAGGCAGTAGTTGTAGGTGCGTATTAAGTGAGAGACGGCTTCACTGATTTTGCATAGTTTGCTACGATTTGGGATGAACCACTGGACTGAATTGGCAATGTTTTAGGGCTCGATAATTAAACGTTTTCATGTGAGCGCTAGCAATACCGTGGTCCAGTTTATTTTGATACCATGTTCCAATTCTGTTTCATTTTACTGTCACTGCTTTTTACATTTTAAACATTAAAAATGTATTTGATAATTATATATTTATTCTATAAAATTATGATGTTGCTAATTGGTTTCATACTTATAACGAATCTAAAAAATGTTGTCAAATCAAATCCTACGTAAGCAATTACGTAACAAAGCCAGTTATCATTTCAAGTACTTACCTTACCGTGAAAAGTTGTAAATTATTGCCTGTCTAAATAACAACAGTAGGTACTACTACTATTTTTATTTTATATCTTTATGACAAACTTTGTTAGCAAATTCTGTATTGCCTGCTTTGACTCGCTTTCTGTTGTGCGTAAAATTTAAACCCAGCGTTTCTCACTTAAATGTATAGCAGAAGGGCTGGCTCGAAGGAAAGGGAGGTAGAAGAGCAACTCAGGAGTCAGGAACGTGAGCAGAAACAGTCTCCAAACGACTTGGATGATGTCAGAGGAGTCCTCATCTTGACGGTAGGCTGCTTATTTTTGTGCCAGTTTTGTTTGAAGGTTTCTTCTGTTTTCAGTTTTCATCAGCTTTTAGCCTCTTACCCGAAATTGCCGATCACGCAGCAGTAGCACGCATGCAGTGATAAAAGTGTTAGGAAACGCTCTAATAAGCTTACATCCCTTTGTCGTAAGGTCCTGTCATAGGTGTCGCCGTAGTCGCTACGCCAGGTGGCGCTAAAAGTCACAAAATCTGGACCGGCTGATCGATGTTGAAACATTTACATAGAAATAATTTATGCAGTCATACATTTCACTGAAACTGCATTTCACCGGACTGTATTCCGCCGTTCCGTCATTTCCACCCTCATGATGGTCCAATTCTTCTCCTCCACGCCTCAGCCCTCTGTTCCGGGCTGGCCGGACACCTTTATCCCACACGGGTAGCTCCATCCCGAGCCGGCCCGTAGCCGGCTGCGGTGACCGTCAGGGATTGGGTGGCCGGCCTGTCGACATGATGGGCTCGCCCACGGTGGAGCACCAGGGTGCCCACTCAGACCAATGTCTCCCCCTAATTTCTATCGTCCTTTCGGCTCCAAAATGGTCTTGTTAGACCGAAACAGCCTGATCCCCCCCCCCCCCCAAATAAAACAAAACCATATTACATATTATCGCGTCATCCGTTCCGACGACGACATTGGAATCGAGCTTGGCTTAGATCTTTTCTGTCAGACTTGGTACAGCTTACAGTAGCTCCCACATTTAGCCCACGTCGATACAGTTGTTGAGACTCTCGTCAACCGGGCGATGGTGACTATCCTTTAGGTATGAGCTGACCTCCATGATTGAACTCTTGTGCCGCTGTGATGCCGCTCCGCATCGGAAGCCTGGGCGTCAACGCGTAGACTAGGCTCGACGGGGAGTGGGGAAACATGTTCAGATTGCAGGTTAGGTTAATTTCAGATTGCATTGGTTAGTTTAACTCAGGTATGTAACAGTTGCTGAAGGGGTGTCTCGATGCAGACGAAAGAGAACGTCAACTAAGCCTTGTAGTGTATTCCAGACAAATGCACACGGGAAAACATTCGGTCAATATGCGCCAGTGCTCGCTATAACAACTTAGTAACAACAACAAGAAACAAATATCTGTGAAAAAATGAAATACAGCGCGGATGCCTTCTGATGAGTTGCCGCTGTCGTTCATCGTTTGCCGTAGAAGCTCTTGGTTCGCTGTGGATGGTAATTCGCCCTTGGTCCGTTGTTAAACTTCTTCAAGAGACAATTTTCTAGGGACTGAACCCCTAGAAACACTTTGGCCGCTGTGACTGATGGCGTCTTCAAGGGAATGTTTCCAAAAAGAATGAACCAGAGGATAGTTCGAATTCTCGTCCACAGCGAAAACTTTCCAGGGTGTCTTGAAAAGTTTCCCTAGAAACACTGGGGCTTGGGGCAGCAGTGCGGGTACTCTCCGTTCGGCTGCTCCACAACAGTGATACAGTTGGGCGGCGCCACGAACGGCGGACAGCGGAGCCGCGACACGCTTGGAGCAGACGAACCTCTCACAGCCTGGCCCGGTCCAGGGCACATCGGGCTGGTGGACCCGAGAGCGGATAACCCCGTAAAAACAGCGGGAGACGTGAC